TTCTGAGGAAAACCCACGGAATCAGGTAGGGACTGAAAACACAATCCACATATTGGCCCGGGCGGGATTTCGAACCCGGGTCACAGCGGTGGAAGGCGAGGAAAGTACCGCTACGCCAACCTGACTTCCCTAATAGTCAGGTCCTAATACATTCCATTCAAATTGAATCAGTTTGCGATGCACTTGAAGCTATTCCTTCCTCCATGCTTGAAGTTACCGATAGCAGTATGTACGCAATACCCAAACCTACAAGAGAACACGCTCGCTGTCTCCTGGAACTTATCATGCATCGAAACATATTTGAATTCAATGGAAAGTTCTTCAGACAGAAAATTGGCGTGGCTATGGGAAGCGAATGCAGTCCAGAAATATGCGATATAACCCTGCAATCCTTCAATTGTGAGTTACATGAGATACAGGGACAACGTCTTAATAATATTTAACGGTAACGAAGACCAAGCCGGTGACCTCGTCCAAACTCTAGACCAAATTCATCCCACGCTCAAGTTCACGTCAGAGATTTCAAACAGTCAAGTCACCTTCCTCGACCTCGTCATCTACAAAGGCGAACGGTTCCAAAAAGAAGGGAAACTGGATACTCGAGTAGCAACCAAAAAAACTGATACCTTTCAGTATCTTGCTCGAGATTCAGCCCACCGTGAGTCAGTGTTTGGCGGTTTGATTAAGGGAGAATTAATGAGATATGACCGTATATGCACACACTCAAAAGAATTTGAGGAGAAGGCTGAATTCTTCAAAGACAAACTTCAAAAACGCGGATACAACCAAGAAGACTTAGCCCTTCTTCCCTAAAAAGGCGAAACTCGCGTGAACTCTAAAAAGCGTGCAAAAACCGAAAAGAATATCCCGCTGGTCTTTGTTTCACCCTACCACCCACAAATTAAACACCCAGCTCTTAAGCAGGCCCTTCTGAAACACTGAAATATGCCCTGGTCCGATCAATTCAAGGATTAACCCATCTCCACCATCCAACCAAGAAAAAAAACTTGGATGAGGAGAACGTACAAGTCCTTTTGGAACTTCTTGAAGAACAGAACAAACATAATGGTCATTTAGGCATGGATTTCGAAATAAAAATAAAAAATAAGGAATCCACTTAATCTGATCATTACAAGAAATGCTAACGCGTAAAATATTCTTAACCATCATTAGCAATAAAGTAAATACGTATAAAAGAATTAAACAAAGGGTGACTGATGAAGTGCGTAAAAAGGGCACAGAAAATATGCAGTTTCCCCGACACAAAAAAGGAGAAAAAACAGGTGGGACGGCATATTATCACCGGTATAAATCAAATCATTAAGTGAACTAGAAACAAAAACCACATGTACACAAACCAGTCCCTGCGTCGCTTAAACACCGGGTGATTTTTTTTTAAACTCCCGCTCTCCGGTTATCACCAATCTAATGGGCCCGCTGGCGAGGTATGTGTTGACAAGTTGTAACCCACCCATCACCGCAACCCAGCAGTGGAACTGATGTTACTCCCTATATGCGTATTGAATTTCCAAAAAAGAAAAAAACCTTAACAAATACGATCTAGGCAGTTTAATACCAGTGCTTCTAAGTCTTAAATAAATCTTCTCTAGCTGGTTGCAAATACAATGTTTTCAAAAAGATTCATCAGCTCGCAGATCCCCTCGTACTCCAATTTTATCATACATCCCATAAAAAGAAAAGAATGAGGAACGGCCCTGAATGAATAATGCTGATAGAAATCCTATCTTCCTCCCTTGTTTTAAGCCCTTATTAACGGCGGCAACTTTCTTGGAATGACTTTGGTACCAACAAGTTATTAGTATCAACAGATTGTTCCCTGAATTTTGCTCGCACAAAACTGGTTCTTCCTTGCTATTTTCCTAGCCAGAAAACCACTTCTTTTTAAGAAAACACAAGTCTGATAAAAACTTTAATGCATGGTGGCGGCCAAACTCCATTCCATTTAACCCTAAAGGGGCCGGGGGGGGGGGGCGGAATCCCCCCCCTCAACATTTTCCGCGATAGCCTCTAAAAATTTTCGCGACCCGAGCTGTTATGACTTTTTAGCCTCGAGCTTTGCGCATCTTTTGATACCAAAAACATAAAAATCAGACAACGGGTTGCCGCGTAGCGAAAATTTTTCCGGCGGTATACGCCGTGAAAACTGAATTTTCGCATATACGTCGTGTACACAGAGCAGAATTGCCATTTGTCCATATGAATAATTAATTAGCCATAATTCCAAAACACTTTGACCTATAGTAATGAAATTTCTTGGGTAGGTTTAGGAAGAGTTGCTCTATGCATGTGCTGAGTTTCAACATTTTTCGTCAGTCGATGGAATCCGCCCCCCCCCCCCCCCCGGCTGAGAGATGGTCAAAATAACCCGGCCCCTTTAGGGTTAAAATGTAGTGGCGACATGTATGATTACGCCCCTTCCTATTAAACACAAGTACATGAAGAATGAAGGCGCCACCTATTGCCAAGAAAGATACAGTCACGCGACGGGCGACGGCACGATGCGACGGCACGATGCGACGGCACGATGCGACGGGCGACGGCACGACGCAACGGGCGACGGCACGACGCGACGGGCAATGTGTGCGTCGCCTCTTCAAGCAGTCTACTTAGAAGCGCCGAGGTAACAGGCGACGGCACGACGCGACTGGCGACGGCACGACGCGACGACGGCACGACGCGACGTGTGAAGGTGCGTCGCTTCCTCATGCAGTGTACGTGCTTAGAAACGGTAATTTAAGAGGCGACGGCACGACGCGACGCCACGACGCGACGGGCGACGGTACGACGCGACGGACGACGGTACGACGCGACGGCACGACGTGAAAGCACGACGCGACGCAGATTTGGCGTCTATAGAACACCATACATTATGGAAGCAACAGCACTCTATCACGCGACGTAACATGCTTGTGCAATAGCGAGCACTGTAGACCCAACCTCGTTCCAGAGTGTGGAGCATGCTGCAGTACGCGTTGCCATCGACGGTTTTACGCAGACCCCGGAAGTACACAGTGTAGACCTTCGATTGGTCAGACCGCGCAAGGCATACTAATGTGTAGTCATTCTGAGTATTCGTTGCACTCAGCGCAGGGGCGGCAAGCAAAGCATATGAAAGAATAGGGACACTTGGTGGCCACGCACCATGGACAAAAAATATTTTATTAAGGTCACCCCATACAACCGTTTGGTGAACACTGTTGCAGAACGGCCAAGTAGAACACGTAAACGGAACCCCTACGTTGAAGCCGCTGACTTCGCACAGTCTAGACTCGCAGAAAAGCCAGCACAGGGGGCGGCCAGGCAGTCAACGTGAAAGCGCACACTACGGCAAATTCCTGTGCAAAATGCAGTCACGAAAAATCGACGAAGCGGATCGCCGGTCCGTACCGGAAAATTAGGACGACCCGAAGTGTCCGAACCGGCGGAAGACACCTTCCGCATTTTTCTACGGACGTGGAGCGATTTTAGCGCCGGGGGAGCCCGCGGTTTCGGATCCTTTCAGGAGCAAACATCGTCTCGGAGGCCGAGTAACTCTCTTATATATATAGATAACCCTCAAGTTCATGGCCCACAAAATGCAATGTGAATCGGTCGGCGTAGGCAACTGGGGGCACATACTTGCCTGCATTCTTAAAGATGTTAATTAACAGCGAAGAAAATAAACAATACATTTGTTGATAAAGTGCTGGGAGAAAACTGGGAGGGGCCCAACTGTGTGTGTGTGTGTGTGTGTGTGTGTCGGGGGGGGGGGGGTGAGCTTGTCTTACATACGCAGTGTGGACTTCCGAACAAAAGACGTCCACATAATGTAGGTAGCACCGACGTTGTGTGGACTTGCCCACGTCCACACAGTGTTTCCCCATTTCTGGAAAACAGGTTTAGAGGCATTTTTGGGTTAGGTTTATCTGTAGCAGAATGAAGAGAAACACTAAAGGGAATCATAGAAAAAAAATTGGGTTGAAAGAGTTTTCACAGTTTGAGAAAAATGAGTTTTTTCACTGGTTTTTCTTAACTACACGAAAGCAATGGAAAGTCCACACTAGTCATGTGAAACAAGTGTGTGTGGGTGTGTGTGTGTGGGTGTGTGGGTGTGTGTGTGTGTGTGGGGGGGGGGGGGGGGACAAGGAAAACACTGTGGGGGAGGGGGGAATCCCGATCTTCCCCCCTCCTTGTAGCGCCGCCACTGATTGGAGGCACCAACTCCTAGCACGTTCACAGTGAAAATACTCAAATACCGTCACTGAAACATACAACATTACATAGGAAAATTGGTTTTGAAATTAAGCTCACCGGAAGGTCTTCAGGAAAAGGGGCCGTCAGAAGCCAGGTACAGATAGGCGAGGCTTCATAACCACAGCAGACTAAAAGCAACGGGATGCAAAGGAAGAAACAGTAATGTAGCTGAACTCAGGAAACGCAAAGAACGAAGGAAGAACAGCTCCCTTCAAATTCTCTCAGGACTGCATGTGCAGGCATTATATTCGTGCTGCACCACCGCCCTAACGGCTAACGCCGCCAACTAAGCATAGGCATTTCACTTGTTCGCTTTAACAATGCCAACAAAAATTCCTATTCCCAAATAAGGAGAGCTCCGGGAAGGGAAATGTTATTGAGAGGACTTTAAAACATTACTTCATACTGTCGCCAGAACAAAGCTGTAGGCAAGTAATGCTGCAACAAGTACAACGACATACGCTGTCCGCAACTTGTTGTCAATCCGGACAGTCATATTTGAATCACTTCTATCAACGCCAAAAAATACTACAGATTTACATGTAGGCCTATACCAATTGATGTGCTGTACGACACAGCTGGCTGTATGTACCCAACTTTGCTTTACAATCAGAGGTTGCATTCAGTTGTCACAGCATTGATGTGCGCATTACATATTGTATATAGAGTTACACGGACTTATTTTAAAAGACCTAGATGTCGACCTTTGAGAGAAGCTATAAAATGGAGTACAAAATGAAAACGTGTATCGAGACTACAAGTTTATTGTTTTTTTATAACCTTATCTGATGATACAAAGACGTCAGACTAGTTTGCTATATAAAAAAACAAGTTTAAAAAATATTAATTCATTCTGTTTATTTGCCAAAACCCATTTTTGCGATTAAACGTGTTTGCACGAAATATTTGTTTAAGAATAAAATACAATAATATCCATGTTAAATCCATACAAACATTAGCACAAAATCAAGCATACACCAAAACAACCGTTGAAAAATGTCAATAAAAAGATTGAATATCAAGTTAAATATACAATTAAAAACGTGTGTTACATTTATAAAAGTACTTTAAATTGCTTAAGAAATTTACACTATAGTTACACTTATGCTTTCGGGTCAGTATGCAATCCCTTTGAATCATTCCTATTCCATATTCCAAGGGTGGATCCGGGGGGCCAAGGGGCCAGCCCACAGACTTCAACAGACTTGCTTATTCTTTTTACATTTTTGTGACTTAAGAAAAAATTAATACCCATATTGCCAACCATACTGTTACAAGTTTAAAACCCCAATTTTGACCATGAACTGTTTCTAATAAGAATAAAATTACAGATTTCTAGTTGCGCAAAAGAATGAATTCATTCCTGGAGTCCGGCTCCAGGAATCGACCCGTGTTTTTGCGAGAGTTGACGAGATTTGGGTTGGGATACGTCTCCTCATCTATTCCTTGCAAAATCCTGTCCACAACCTCCACCCCTTGCATGAAAGAATGGTCCTGGTTTGCAACCTCGTACCGCCATCCCCCGAACCGACCGCGGGAGTAGATGTGTTTTGCCTCTAACCAGGGTTGCACCATGTGGAGGACTTTTTCCCTTTCCAGAGAAGGAACTGGGTAGCCGCGATCTAGTCGGCGATAGTATTTGGACACTACCATGTCAGCTGAAATGAAACCGTACGTCACCAAAGCCTTGACTGTTGCCTCGACTACGTTTGTCTTTGACCAATAGCTTGGGTCTGGCGCGTACTTGGGTTCCGCCGCCTCGCACATCAGAGACCAAAAGGTGTCCGCCCTGGGCACGTGATCGTCAGAGTACGCCGAGAAAACTGTAATGCGGTAGAACGGAGAATCGGAGTCTGGAAAGTACATCCAGGATTTGTCGGAGAGAATCTCAGGGGGTTGGCCAAGGAGTCCAATACCTATGACGTGAGTGTGAGAGTATATGAGCTGCGATGTGAAGTGGTTTATTTGTGCCAGAGATGGATCGTTACCATGAAGTAAGTTTGCAAATTTGTCCAAGGGTACCGTCGATATCAATGTGTCATAAGTCAATGAACGGTGCGAACTCCCTGCACTTCCTATGTTTATTGTTTTGGTGTCAAAATTGACACTCGTCACTTTGCTTCGGAACTGAAACCATTCCCGCGGTACCAAGTTTGCCACTCCTCTCCAGATATTCCCGGTGCCGTTGAATCTTGGGAAGCGAAAGTACCGGTTGGGACCCCACCCCGAGTCCTCCACCGGAGTCCCTTGATCAAAGGCTTTAATCTTGGCTTGGATTTTGTTGACGTCGGGTATGGCGACTCGCTCGCCCACCCAGACCGAGTTCATTCTGGTGGTGTTGACTGTCCACACCTTCTTGTTGTATTTCCGCATGAACACTTCGCAGAGGCCGACCCCGAATTTCTGCAACAGCCACTGGTCGAAGTTGTCGGGTTTGGCCTCCGGTGGGTTGCGGGTGATCTCTTGGAGACCTTCCAGGCTTCTTTTCTGGTCAGTTTTGTCCATGGCTTCGATGTTGTTCTGGACTGGGTAAGGGATGAATCTCCTTTTGCCGTCTGATCCCATCATAAAGGCAAAGGCCGCGCGGACTCGCTGGTTCCAATGTGGTACTGCACGATCCAGCGTCTTGTCGAAATAATCGTAGTGAGAGAAGACGACATGGCCTCCCATGTCCCAGAGAAAGCCTTGATCGTCTCGCTCAGAAGAAGCCAGTCCGCCCGGTAGAGCTTCTTCTTCTAGGATGGTAACCTTGGTGTTAAACTGGTTTCTGAGTTCGGCAAGTCGTCGTGCTGCGCCTAGTGCCGTTGGACCCGAGCCGATGATGACAATATGAAGTGGCTTGCGACCCATCAACTTTGCGACCCAGCGTTCATGTTTGTTGAACTTGCCTGCAAAACAAATTTAAAAGGGAAAAAAAAATCAATCATCAGTGTGCTCTTAAACATTTCACATACACGCACAGTCATCAATGAAGGGGAGGTTTAGGTTTTTATTCGGAAAGAAAATGAAAATGGCTGATTACGGAGCATTGGCTGCAGCGTGAAGCACAGAACAGCATGTTCTACAAAAAGTGATGCTGTTATATATAATAGTGCATTCATAGATGTGTTAAGAGATTAGCATGGTCCATATCAATAATTCACGACATAGGCAAGAGGGCGGGGTGGAGGGAGGGGGGGGGGGGTTTGAGGTGGGGGAGGGGGCTGGTACCATCCAATGCATTAATGAATAACATGTGATGAATAACATCACAGACGTTAGGTCTGTCTATCAAAGAGCAGGTGTTTGATTTTGATGCTTAATTTCCATGTCTGAAAGGTCTATTCCTGATTCCAATGTTATAGGATTTCCCGGTCATTTTAACACTTGTATCACGCGAATTCCCTATATCGATACTTTGATTTCGTCCCCGAACATCGCCAAGCTCAATTCTCAATTTGAATTTCAGAAAGCCACCACTAGATTTCATTTAAGGTTCATAATTCAAATTGTAAGCATAGGCCTACCGATTCGTCCTAAATTTGTGAAATTCGTCTCGTGTAGCAATCAGCGTTGAATAAAAAAAAAAAAAAAAATCGTTTTTGTCATTCGTTGTAATGTTGTTGTCATTACATTTCGTCTCTGGTGACTTAAAACGTTACGATTAAAAATGTGCCCAATCTTTGGACTTATTTAAAGAATTGTGCGCATTAAATAAACTTTAATTTGTAACAAATATTTCCTTATAAATGAAAGTATAGTTAGCTGTAAGTTTTGATTTTTTTTATAGTTAACATTAGAATCAGAAATAGAACTTTCACAATATGCTCTTTGCTTAGCACCTGGAAATTAAGCATTAAGATCAAACACCTTTGTAATGTTGCTCTTCGATATATGTCGGCCTATATTAATAAAACAACAGAAATAAGGTATTTCTATCAAAGAGCAACATTAAGAAGGTGTTTGACCTTAATGCTTAGTGTCCATGTCATAAGTAAAGTGCATATTGTGAAATGTCTATTCCTGACTCTAATGTTAATTGTGAAATACAGAAATAAAAATTAAAACCTTACAGCTAACTACTTTTATTTATATTATAAGGAAATAATGTCGAAATTATCATTGTTTTAATGCGCACAATTCTTCCACTAAGTCTAAAGATTGGGCGCATTTTCCAATCGTATACGTTTTAAGTCACCAGAAACGAAATGTAATGACAACATTTAAAGGTTTTGCAAAAAAAACGAATTTGCTTTTTCAATTCAACGCCACATGCTACACAAGACGAATTACACAAATTTAGGACGAATCGGTATGCTAAAAATTTGAATTATACTGAACCTTAAATGAAATATAGTGGTGGCTTTCCGAAATTCATATTGAGAATTGAGCTTGGCGATGATATTAAAGTATCGATATAAGGAATTTGTGTGGTACAAGTGTTATAATAACCGGGAAAACCTATAATTGTATATCACAGAAAAGGAGATTGAAATCTTACAGCTAACTACTGTTATTTATATACATTTAAGGAAATATATGTTGAAACTGTAATTTGATTAGGGCGCACAATTCTTCAAATAAGTCCAAAGATTGGGCACATTTTCTTATCGTAACGTTCTATGTCACTAGAAACGAAATGTAATGACAGCAACATTAAAACGAATGACAAAAAACGAATTTGCTTTTTCAATTCAACGCCGATTGCTACACCAGACGAATTTCACAAATTTAAGACGAATCGGTATGAGTTTGAATTATGCTGAACGTTAAATGAAATCTAGTGGTGGCTTTTTGAAATTCAAAATGAGAATTGAGCTTGGCGATTTTCGGGGACGAAATGAAAGTATCGACATAAGGAATTTGTGTGATACAAGTGTTAAAATAACCGGGAAAACCTAATATCGGCGATATCAGGATGTAATGCCACTTCTATTATAAGTAAATAAGACAAGGTCACTGTGTGGGCGTTTTTCAGTCTATCATTTTTTTTCCAAATCTATAGTGCTTTGTCTTGACGGCAACTTTCCATATCATCAACTTGCACGGATACGATACCTACATCCTGTGAAAGGCCACTAGTTTTTTGTTCCAGAGGAGAATGTACTTTTTCGTGGGAGTGCATGAAAGCTCTGTGTAGATGTTGAAAACATGTCAAGGGTTAACCATGCACGAGCATTCCTAAAAGCAATAGTTCTCTATCAATCCTTGTTTTTATGGTCTGTGAATCCTTTCGTCGTAACAACAAAAGCATAACTTCATATTTTCAATGGGGAGTGCCGATAAAATCCTAAAACCAGGCACACTATATAAAGTACAAATGCACCCTTGTCACGACTATTTCTTTTTTTATTTTACTTTTTTTTGGGGGGGGGGGGGGGGGGGCTAAGGTCCCCTAGCCCCCCTAGAACCGCCACTGCATACATGCTTAGCCAACATCCTACCATTTAATGCATTGGACAATGCAGAATTTCAAGACGTAATTCATGATTTTGCCCCTAATCTCAATGATGCTGATACTACTGCGAATACAGCCTCTGACCCCTTACTTTTTAATTTGCCTCAGTTTACAAATGTATACGATAGACCCCGAAAACCCTGTATCAGATACCCATCACTGTCGCTACTCCACCGAAAATAATTACTGTAGTCCCCTTTCAAACATTGATTGCAGCCAGAAACTAGAATTCATTCATTCTAATATAAGAAGCCTCCCCAAAAACTTCGATAATTTTAAACTACTACTTCAATCATTAAGTACATTTTCAGTTATTGGTCTCTCTGAGACATGGCTTAAAGACGACATTACAACGAGGTTCTCTTTACCGGGGTATACAGATAAAAATGGTGGCGGCGTTGCCCTTTATGTGCAAAATGATATTCAGTATAATATACGCCGTGATCTGAATTATTCAAACAACTCCACAGGTTTTATATAATGATTTCATGAATTATTTGGAGAATACAATCAACTGCATTTCTACTGAAAATAAACGTAGTATTCTTGCTGGAGTCCTCAATATTAACCTTCTAAATTATGAAGATAATACTTCAGTTCAAAATTTTATTAACATTATGTTTTCACACTCATTTATTCCACTCATTGATAAACACACAAGGGTAACCCGAACTTCAGCTACTCTAATTGACAATATATTCACCAACGTTTTACCGATACCAGACTCTGTTATTTTAACTTCGGATATTACTGACCATTTTCCTATCATCACCTCACTACCAATGGCAAATATTTCCCAAAAGGTCAATAGAAAAGCCAACTATCGCTATTATACTAAAGATAATTTAGATGAACTAACACAAGATCTAAACTCGGCGGACTGGTCTTCTGTACTTAACTCTCAAGACCCAAACCCAAATAAGGAAATAATGTCGAAATTATCATTGTTTTAATGCGCACAATTCTTCAAATAAGTCTAAAGATTGGGCGCATTTTCCAATCGTATGCGTTTTAAGTCACCAGAAACGAAATGTAATGACAACAACATTAAAAGGTTTTGCAAAAAACGAATTTGCTTTTTCAATTCAACGCCACATGCTACACAAGACTAATTACACAAATTTAGGACGAATCGGAATGCTAAAAATTTGAATTATACTGAACCTTAAATGAAATATAGTGGTGGCTTTCCGAAATTCATATTGAGAATTGAGCTTGGCGATGATATTAAAGTATCGATATAAGGAATTTGTGTGGTACAAGTGTTATAATAACCGGGAAAACCTATAATTGGATATCACAGAAAAGGAGATTGAAAACTTACAGCTAACTACTGTTATTTCTACATTTAAGGAAATATATGTTGAAACTGTAATTTGATTAGGGCGCACAATTCTTCAAATAAGTCCAAAGATTGGGCACATTTTTAATTGTAACGTTTCAAGTCACCGTCGAAGAAATGTAATGACAGCAACATTAAAACGAATGACAAAAAACGAATTTGCTTTTTCAATTCAACGCCGATTGCTACACCAGACGAATTTCACAAATTTAAGACGAATCGGTATGAGTTTGAATTATGCTGAACGTTAAATGAAATCTAGTGGTGGCTTTTTGAAATTCAAAGTGAGAATTGAGCTTGGCGATTTTCGGGGACGAAATGAAAGTATCGAAATATATAAGGAATTTGTGTGATACAAGTGTTGAAATAACCGGGAGAACCTAATATCGGCGATATCAGGATGTAATGCCACTTCTATTATAAGTAAATAAGACAAGGTCACTGTGTGGGCGTTTTTCAGTCTATCATTTTTTTTTCAAATCTATAGTGCTTCGTCCTGGGGCAACTTTCCATATCATGAACTTGCACAGATACGGTACCTATATCCTGTGAAAGGCCACTAGTTTTTTGTTCCAGAGGAGATTGTACTTTTTCGAGTGCATGAAAGCTCTGTGTAGATGTTGAAAACATGTCAAGGGTTAACCATGCACGAGCATTCCTAAAAGCAATAGTTCTCTATCAATCCTTGTTTTTATGGTCTGTGAATCCTTTCGTCGTAACAACAAAAGCATAACTTCATATTTTCAATGGGGAGTGCCGATAAAATCCTAAAACCAGGCACACTATATAAAGTACAAATGCACCCTTGTCACGACTATTTCTTTTTTTATTTTACGGATTTTTTTTTTTGGGGGGGGGCTTAAGTCCCCTAGCCCCCCCCCCTAGAACCGCCACTGCATACATGCTTAGCCAACATCCTACCATTTAATGCATTGGACAATGCAGAATTTCAAGACGTAATTCATGATTTTGCCCCTAATCTCAATGATGCTGATACTACTGCGAATACAGCCTCTGACCCCTTACTTTTTAATTTGCCTCAGTTTACAAATGTATATGATAGACCCCGAAAACCCTGTATCAGATACCCATCACTGTCGCTACTCCAC